GCGGAGGAGGTGGAGGAGGAGGAGGGGAGGGACAAGTTAGGTGCGCTCGCGTCAACATCTGACATCCTACCCCTCCCTCCCATCCCTTACCATGGCGCTGATTTTCTCTATCCGCGGACGCGTGTCGTAGCGGACCTGTGGCTCCGCGCGCGTGTGCGTTGTGGGTGGTGGTGCGCGTGCGTGCGTGCGTGTGTGCGTGGTTGTGGTTGTTGTGGTGGTGGTGTGTATGTGTGTGTGTGTGTGTGTGTGTGTGCGTGTGTGCGCGTGTGCTGTGGTGTGACGTGGTGTGGCGTCTTGGTGGTTTGGTGGTGGGCCAGGTGCGTTCGTGCGTGATGGCGGTGGTGGTGTTGGCGGTGGTGGTGTGTGTGTGTGTGTGTGTCTGTGTGTGCGTGTGTGTGTGTGTGTGTGTGTGTGTGCGTGTGTATGTGTGTGCGTGCAGTGCAGTGCAGTGAGTTGCGCGCGCGCGTGTGTGTCTGTGTGTGTGTGTGTGTGTGTGTGTGTGTGTGGGAGTGTGTGTGTGTGTGTGTGTGTGTGTGTGTGTGTGTGTGTGTGTGTGTGTGTGTGTGTGTGTGTGTGTGTGTGTGTGTGCGTGCGTGCGTGCGTGCGTGCGTGCGTGAGTGCGTGCGTGCGTGCGTGCGTGCGTGCGTGCGTGCGTGCGTGTGTGTCTGTGTGTGCGCGCGTGTGATGTGGTGTGACGCGGTGTAGCGTGGTGGTGGTGGGTGGGGTAGTGCGGTGGTGGTGGCGGTGCGCGGTGGTGGTGCGCGTGCGTGCGTGCGTGCGTTGGTGGGTGGAAGTGGCGGTGGGTGTGCGTGCGGCGGGGCGGGGCGTGGTGCGGCGCGGTGGTGGCGGGCGGATGGGCGCGCGAGAAAGAGGCCCGCGCTGGGGCGAGAACGCCATCCTGAACGACGGAGGCAAAACACCGATCCGAAAATGAGGCCCACGCTGCAGCGGGAGCACGATTCGGAACGATTCGGGAGCAGAAATGAGGCCGGCGCCTCAGCGAGAGCAGCATTTTGAAAAAAAATGCAAGGCGAAAATCCAACTCCCGGGAATCCTGTGTGTAAAAAGACAGTACGCGGGGGGGGGGTCGGCTACTTTCAGGCCGCCTTCGGGGGAAGAGGGAGAGTAGTATTCATATTGAGTAATTGTGGAGGAGGAAGAGGATGAGGAGGAGGAGGAGGAGTAGAAGGAGGAAGATGCGGAGGAGGAGGAGAAAGAGATGAGGAGGATGGAGGAGGATTGAGGAGGACGGCGACGAGGACGAGGAGGAGGAGGAGGATGATGATGATGAGGAGGAGGAGGAGAGAAGGAGTAGAGAAGGAGAGCCGCCATGCGGAGCACTGGGCGGGCGCCTCCACGGAGTCCCGCAGCGCGCGGCACTTCACCTCACAAGAGCGGGGTCTCGGGGACGGCGCGCGCGCTCGCTTCGGCTGCTCCTCCTGTTGAGGCCTCGTATCTGAGGTCCGAGCAGATGGGGTCGGAGCATCGCGCCGCATCCGCGGTGCATCGGCGACGCCAGCACGGAGCAACTGACTCAGGCTCCACATTCAGCTTCACGGCGATGCATCGGCGATGCGGCACTATTCTCCGACCCCATCCACTTGGACCCTGTCGGGGAGGCCTGGATCCTGCTCGCCGGGCTGGCCCTCCCCGGCGGTCTTTCGGCTTTCGTGGGGGCCTCCTGGAGGCTTCTCGTCGCCATGACTGGATTCCGCCTCGAGAGGCGGATCAGGATGGCCCCCGGCGGGTCCGGGGACCGATTGTGAGGGGCTTTGGGCCGAGCGGGGGGCCCGCCGTTGTCGCAACTGCTCGTTGCTGCTGCTGCTGCGCGCTGCTGTACCTGGCGATGTCTGGGGGGCCATCCTTTCTCGCACGCGCCCGTGCTCACGGGGTGTGGGGGGGGGAGGTGGGGGGGTGGAGGGAGAGGGGAGCCTCAGGGGCATCCTGCACTTCGTAGCGACTGCGCCCCGCTCAGGTGAGAGAGGAGCGAGCGCTGCGCTGCCCTCCTCTTGCTGCTGCTGCTGCTCCTCCTCCCCCCCACACTCGACAGCCCCTGCTGTCATCGGTGCCTCTGCCCAGCAATTTTCGCTTGGCTGCGGGAATGCGTAACTATTCTGCTGAGGCTGTGCTGTCTCCGCGGGCACCCGTCCAAGGCCAGAAGGAAGACAATCAAGTACCCGAGCCCTTGAGGACTGACCACATAACATACACGATTGGGAGCGCAACTTCAACCTTCGCCGAATGCAGCTTTCAACCGCGAGCAGATCTGCTCATAAAACAATTCATGCTTGCAGACAGCGCAAGACTGAGCAAGATCATCGTGGGCTCATCTGAGCATCTTCATGAACTCGTTGAAATCGATGAAGCCGTCGCCATCAACGTCCACATCCTTCAGAATGGTGTTGATCGTTTCCTCATCCAAGTGGTGCTCCGTGTCTCGTGCCTGCAGAACCTCCCTGAGCTCCTTCCTGGAGATCTTGCCATCGTCATCTTGGTCGAACGTCCGGAATGCGGACCAGCACACAGCCTCCTGCGAAGCGCGTCTGTGGTCCAGAGAGGCGGCCAGGAATTCGGTGTAATCGATGAAACCGCTGTTGTCGGCGTCGAGCGCCTGCGCTAAGCTTTGCACAGTCTCTGTGTCAGTAACGCCCGCCTCTGCCAGACAGGCCTTCAGGTCGAGGAGGTTGAGGGTGCCATTCCCTTTGGTGTCAAACTTCACGAAAATTTGACGGAGCTGCTCCATCTTTTGGTCATCCATTCGCCTAGCCACCAGGTGGAGAGCTTCCTGCTGTAGTTTGTTCATGTGGGTGAACCTCTGGAGGTTCCTTACAGCGTCTGCACATCCCACAGGACTGGCGTTCGGCGCCATATTCAGAATCCATGTGTGCTTCAATGCATCATCCGTTGTGGCCCGCTCGTGTTGGTTCACAACCAGCAGCTGCCCGATGAGATCCTTCGCGTCTGCCGACACCCCGTCGAAACCTTTCCAGTGCAGCTCACCAGACTTGATCTTCTGCGCAGTCTCGAGCGGGTCTTTGCCCTCGAAAGGCAAACTGCCAGAAAGCATGACGTACAAGATCACGCCACAAGCCCACACGTCCACCTCCTTATTGTATCCCTCGTTGGTCTGCCCCTCGCGCAGAGCAACCAACTCTGGAGCTTCATAATCAGGTGTCCCGCTCTTCAACTTCAACATCCGCCCCTTCCACTCGGCGGCTATGCCGTAATCGATCACCTTCACGCAGTTGCCCTTAATCCGCCACCGTGCCTGCACGACGTGAATGTGCTGGAATGCCAGGTGCTGCTCTGTAGGTTTTGTATTCTTATGAGGGGCCTCCCCTCTACTACCAGAGGCCACGACCAGAACTGCATGCATCACCCCTCCTCCTGAGGCCACGACCCCTCGTACAAGAACTAGTCGCTGTTGTTGTTGAACTCTCATTTCTGAAGAATAATTACTGTTGACCCCCTACAGGTGCACATGGTATTTCTTTCAATTGAAGAAAGAGAACGAGAGAGGAAGAGAGAGTGGGAGAGAAAGGGAGAGAGTGAGAGAGAGAGAGAGAGAAAGAGAGAGAGAGATATGGTTCCGCGCTCCTGAGGCCACGATCCCTTGTGCAGAAAACGATGGGTCCGCGTCGGGAGCTTCCAAGACGGCCCAGGCGGGCAACCACCAGGTCAGCCAAGATGGCCCCAGCTGCCTCGACGACGGGCCGAGGTGGCCTCAAGGCGGCCGACTGTGGCCTCAAGACGACCCAAGATGCCTTCAAGCGGGCCCCACGGTGACCTCCAACGTGGCCCGAAGAGTCCAACATGCGCCGACCCGGTCGGCGTGTGCGAGACGCGGTTTCGTTTGACTCGTCGTCTTCGTCGTCGCCGACGACGCCGCCGCCGCCGTCGCCGCTCCCCCCCCTTTCCTTTGGCCCTCCTCCTCAAACGCGCCAGCCACAGCGACATTGAGCAACGTCGAAGTTGAGTCGAAGGGAAGCCCCTTGCCTTTGATCCCTTCCCCGCCCGGGAAGGGAGGGGCCCCAAGGGGGGCACCCCGGGGGGTCCTGGAGCCACAACAAAAGTCCCAAGACGGGCCAAGAGTGCCCCAAGACGGTCCAAGAAGAAGACGTCCAAGACAGTCTCCAGACAGCCGAAGAAGCCCCCAAGATGCCCTAAGAGGCCTCCAAGAGCACTCTCAAAAGAGCGCGCCAAGAGGCAAACTTGATCGATTCTGCGTAGCTTTTTGGCCGATTTGGGTGCTCTCGCCGTCTTCAGCTTCCCACGCTCCAAGATGGCCAAGAGGTCCCCCAAAAATCGCCCCCAAATCGCCCCAAGAGGCCTGCAAGACGGCCCAAGGTGCCCCCCCAAGACGACCCAAGAGGCCCCCAAGCTCGCCCCAAGACGACCCGAGAGGCCTCCAAGACGGCCCAAGCTGCCCCCCAGGGGCATCTCCGAGGGGGCGCCCAACACGCGGCCCCGCGAGGCTCCACGGAGGGGCCCCAGGGTGCCCACCGGGAGGCTCCAACGGGCCACCGAGGCGCCCACGAGGCCCCCCAAAGAGGCCCCCGAGAGGTGCCCGAGTGGCTCCCAAGATGCCCCCAAAGACTGCCCCCAAACTGCCCTCCAGGGGCCCCCAGAGAGCGAACTGCCCTCCAGGGGCCCCCAGAGAGCGCTCCGAGGAGACCTCAAGAAGCACCCCCGAGGACCCTGACCCACGTCGGCATCGTCGTCGTCGTCGTCGTCGTCGTCGCCGTCCCACTTCAGGATCCGCGGCACCAGCCGCAAGGCCTTCGCAATCATTGCCTTCCTTCACTGCCCCGGTAATTACGCCACACACAGCTAGCAGCGTATTGACACAGAGCTTAACACGTAGACTGGACACGTAGGCCTGGCGCGATGCGTTCTCCAGCACGTGGGGCAACACGTGACGAACCAACATGTAGCGGGTTAGCACGGACGTTTTGAACACGGTACGTGCTGCGTTTCAAAACGGGCGTATCGGGGCAGCAAAGTTGGTTCCCCTTGGGTTTTGCTATCGCAGTGAAGGGGCCGAACGGTCAGTCATTGTCCCTGCGTGCGTGGCTTAAGTGCGGACCCGTGGTGGAAATTATGCTTGTTGCGTTGTTCTTGATGTTGCTGTTGCTGTTGCTGTTGAACTCTCATTTCTGAAGAATAATTATTGTTGATCCCCCCTCACCGGTGCATGCTGTTTTTTCTCAATCAACGTGTGCCCCTCGACGCTCGCATCCTGTTTTTTTGACAAGGAAAGTCTTGGTGCTCAAACTGGGCCCCTGGCGCCCCGGATTACAACAACAACTGCTCCCGCCTGAGACTTCCTCTAAATTCACTCAGGACCCCCGCTCCTGAGACTTCCTCACAATTTACGCAGGATCGGTGCTCCCGCCTGTGACTTCGTCGCAATTTAGTCAGGGCTCCCGCTCCCATCTGAGACTTCCCCACAATTTACTCAGGAACGGCGCTCCCGCTTGAGACTTCCTCGCGCTTGAATCAAGACTTCCTCGCAGTGTAATCAAGACCCCCGCTCCCGCCAGAGAACCCTTCGCATTTTATTTAGGATTTGCGCTCTCGCCTGTGACTTCCATGCAATTTATTCAGAAATCGCGCTTTCGACGCTCAAGAAACACGCTGCGCCAAGGACGCCGTTACAATTTACTTAGTAATCGCGCTCTTGCCATACTCAGGCATCCCGCTTGAACGTCCCACCCGCCCGACCCGCCCGTCAGGGGATCGCCCGCCCGTCGCGGGCTCCCGCCCGAGACTTCCTTCAGGAACGGCGCTTTCGCCTAGGACTTCCTCGAACGTTCACGCTCTTACCTTCCTGCTCCTCCGCCCTCTCCCTCCTCCCTCCTCCCTCCTCTCCTCCCTTCTCTCTTCCTCCTCTCCCCCCTCATCCTTATGTCTCTTTGCCCTACCCCCTCTCCCTCCTCCTTTCTCCCTCCCCTCTCCTGACTCCAAACTCCCTCTTTTTTTTGCTCTCTCTCTCTCTCTCTCCCCTCTCTCTCTCTCTCTTTCTTTCTTTCTCTCTCTCCCTCTCTCTCCCTTTTTTTTTTCTCTCTATCTCTCTCTGCCTCTAATCAACCGCCCCCCTCTTCTGTCCGTCTCTTCTGGCGTTTTCCCTCTTCCGTCGTCCCTCCACCTCCCTTCCTCCCACTCTCCCTCGTTCTCCCCCTACTCTTTTTGCAGGGCCCACACCAATTCCAATGGCGGGCACATGTACGCCCACGAAAGATTGTCCACCCATTCAGGTTTGCCCGCCTAAGTCCGCCGCCCCCCCGCAAAGAGAAACAATCCCCCAAAGGTGGTGTGCTCGAAGACGAAACGGGCGGGTATCGAGGGTGTGGGGAGATCGTTTAGAATGACACGCGGGAAAGTAAGAGCGAACAATCTTAGAATGATTGTTGTTGTTGTTGTTGCTGCTGCAATTTGTTGTTTCGTTCCCCCCGCGACCTGGCCCGCGACCCACCCGCGACCCGGCCCGCGACCCACCCGCGACCCACCCCGAGACCCGCTCGCGACCCACCCGCGACATGGCCCGCGACCCACCCGCGACCCACCTGCGATCCAACCCGCGACCCACCTACATTGTTTTAACAAAAAAATCGGCGCCTGCGGCGAACTCGTTGTATAGCTTGAAATTTTTGCGCTTGCGTCGGGCTTCTTCAGAGCCTCGCATACTGCCGCCGCCCCCTCACTCTTATCAACAACTGCGGGGTGCTACGTATGATTCTTGCATTCTCGCCCTTCAGGCTTTTGTCAGCTCAAGACGGCCCAAAAAGCCTCCACAATGGCTCCAAAACGGCCCACGAAGACCCCGCGAGGGTCCAAACATGGCCCAAGAGGACCCCACGAAGGCCCAAGAGACATCCAAAACGGCACCGATACGTCCCAAAAGGATCCCCCGTGGGACCCAAGGCGGCCTTAGAAGGCCCTTCGCCTGTCCAAAACGGCGCCAAGACGGCCCCACGACGGCCCCCAGGCACCCACCATACAGCCAGCAGGTCTCCAAGACGGCCCCACAAGAGCGCCAAGACGGCCCAATGCGGCGCCAAGGACCCCCCCTTCAAGACTGCCTCACAAGATGCCAAGACAGCTACCAGGCGGCCCAAACGAGTTCTATGAGAGTTCCTCGAATAGCGAAGACGAAAAGTGTCACATGTGACGACCTTATTATTCCCTCTCCTCCTCCTGCTCCTACTGCTCCCCCTCATCATGATCACATTCATGATCAGAAAGATAACCATCACTATCAACACCGCCATCAGAGCAGGAGTCACAATCATACTCACGATTATCATCATCATCATCGCCACCATCACCATCACCATCACCATCACCATCACCACCACCACCATCACCATCACCATCACCTTCATCATCACCATCATCATCGTCGTCGTCGTGGTCATCGCCGTCGTCGTCGTCGTCGTCGTCGTCGTCGTCGTCGTCGTCGTCGTCGTCGTCGTCGTCATCGTCATCGTTATCATCACCACATCATCACCATCACCATCATAACCATCATCACCACAATCACCACCATCATCACCATCATCACCACCATCACCATCACCGTCATCATCACCATCACCATCACCATCATCACCATCATCACCACCATCATCACCACCATCACCATCACCACTTTCACCATTATTATCATAAGCAACATCATCATCGTCATCATCGTCACCGCCATCATCATCAACATCATCATCTTCAACATCATCATCATCATCATCATCATCATCATCATCATCATCATCATTATCATCAACACCATTACCGTCATCATCATCATCATCATCATCATCATCATCATCATCATCATCATCATCATCATCATCATCATGACGTCTCCCCGAAGCCTGGCGGCCTTAAGTGCCCCCTCGAACCATCGCCACCAGACATGCTGGACTGGCACGGTGGCGGGACTTCCCGAAGGCAGCCAGATAGCACCCTTATCACGGAGTATCAAATTCTGAGGCTTTAAATCTTTGTGCACTATGTCCATCGAGTGAGTGTAGCGCACCGCATGGAACACCTGTTGCATCACTTCCGCCGCCACTGCCTCCGGGAGATGCTTCTCCTCGACGATCCTGTCAAAGAGCTCTCCGCCCTCGCACATCTCCATCACCAAGTATACATACCGAGAGTCCTGGATCTGGAGAGCCCGGACGTACAATCAAAACTGATAGTAAGGGTGCGCGATATGGATGCAAGCCCCTTCGACGCCGGTGTTGAAGCTTTTCCGAGCGCGGCGGGCCATCGAGAGTGGTTAAGGATGGACCAAAGAGGCAAGGATGCAAGAAGACCCTTGGGAAAATTACCTATCCCTACCATCAGTTTCGACTGTGCACCGTCACCGTCGATTTTCCTAGGGGGGCTTACTACTCACCAGACGCCACAAGGACGATCTCAGACCAGGGCCAGGCGGGAACCGAAGGACGCTGAGGGTTCAGGGGAGACCGGCGCACCCCTGGAAAAACAAACGCGGTGGCGGTACGTCTGTGCGGTCCCTGCCTGGAATGTCTCGAACAGCTTGATGATGTTAGGGTGGTCGAGCTTGGTCATGATGCGAATCTCCTGCTCGAGCTGGTGTCGCTGTATGACTGCACACGATCTCTCTTTCTGGATGCACTTCACGGCGTAGATGACCCCGGTGCCCTTGCTCTTCCCCTTGCACACGGTTCCGAAGGTCCCAGCGCCGAGATGCCCGGACCTTTCGAGCTCTATGAACTTCTCGATCCTCTTGCCCTCGTTGTGCGGGAGCTGAACCTTGATTCCCTTTTTCCCGCCCACAAAGATCTCTTTTATTTTTTGACACACGCCGGGGCCCTCCACCATAATCGAACTCTCGCTAGACGAGTCGATGGACTCAGACTCGGACTCGCCCTGATGCGCGTGTGAGCAGGAGGACCCCATGCCTCTCGCCGCGCGCTGGCCGCGTGGGCCCGACCCAACACGCCAAGACGTGCACAAATAACGGGCACGCTGGGCCGCCCCTCCGAGCCACCTCCCGATGCCAACAAAAAAACTCGAGCCAAAACGGCTCGGGCCGAAGCAGCCGTGGCTCAGCAGGCAGCGCTTCAGTGAGCGCCGGGTGACAAGATCTCGAACGTCACCATCGGCCAGGCCAGGCCGCTGGCAGCTCCCCCCCTCTCCCCCTCCTCGGCCAGCAGGACGCCGCCCGCCGCCTCGCGCCTGCGCGCCCCGATCAGTGCCCAAGCATGCCGTCGGCAGGGAGCCCACACCTTGAACACGGCCCCCCAATCCGCGAGACCCGCCGCGTGACACGAGCGTTCGCGCAGTGCATACTCTCGAAACCAACGTGGACTCACGTATGTGTGCGCCCGTCCTTCGCTCCTGAGTCGGCGCGCCGCTGCACGCTGACGCGAACAAGGGCTCGGGGATTCGGCTATGCGCAAGAGTGACCCTGGGTAAGCGTGGCCTTTGGTGCGCGCCTTTTTGGGGGACGCGGGGGGACCAAACCTGGGCGCGCAAGCAGCTGCTGCTGCTTCGCTTTCGACCATCTGGGGACCCATCTGTGCCCGCACCAGAGGTCACTCCGGCGAAAGGTCACTCTCACGTCTAGTCGAGGGAGGCAGGGGTGAAGGGTGCGAAGGGGAGCGCCCCCAGGACCCGGCGGCGCGCACAAGGGGGGGGGGGGGGGGAAACGCGAGCGGGGTGGCCTCCTCGAGGGCTGGGTGCCCGAGAGGGGGGAGGGCTCCCCCCCCCCCCCCCGGGGCTCCAAGAAGCCGGGCCCCTCTGCTGCGCGAGAGCCCCCCCTCCACCTCCTTAGAATGCGCCCCCCCCCCCCCCCCCCCCCCCCCCCCCCCCCCCACCCCCCCCCCCCCCCCCCCCCCCCCCCCCCCCACCCTCCACACGCGAGCCCCCCCCCCCCCACACCTCCTTCTCCCCCCACCCTCACCCCTCTATGGAATGCCCCCCCACCCCCCCCCCCCCCCCCCCCCCTCCGCCACGCGAGGGCTCTCCCCCCCACCCCCTTGGCATGCGCCCCGCCCCGCGCCGCCTCGGGCGCGCGCCGCCACGGCGCGGATGGGCCGAGGGCCCGCGGCCCACGGGGCTGCCCGAAGCCACCGCGCGCACAGCGTGCCCCAGGCTTCGGGCGTCGGTGCCGCGGCCCGGGCTTTTCGCGCGCGATCCGCCAGCGGAGCGCGGTCGAGGAGGTCTCTGGGCACAGCCGATTGAAGGGGCCCACAAACACACAAATGAATACACACAAACATGTAGAGATCCCCCATATTTTCCCATATTTTCTGGGTTTCTGTCTTCCCCCCCACTTCCCATATTTTCCCATATTTTCCTGGGAGTGGACGATTCATTGTGCCTGAGTGTGTTTTTCCCCTCCTGATCTGGGCATAGCCGATGCTGGTATCGGGGCGGGGACAGTGCGATCTGGCGCCTGACTTTCACGCGTCTCTGCATGTAATGGTCGGTCCGCTCTGGTCCAGGGCCCACGCTGAGTAGATTCCCACGCCTTGCCCAGTCGAGTCGACGGCGAATCGAGAGCGAGCTGCTGTTGTGCCCCTCATGGTAAAGGCCAAAGGGTTGCACCAGTATCTCAAAAGCGTCGCTCTATACGTGGGTGCCCTTATTATGCCCAGATCCCCATACGAGAAAAGCAAAAACAACTGCGAAACACACGGCGAAGGCGACCCCAGTACGACGGAGGCTGTGCGTGAGTGAAGGGTGGGAGCGACCTCAACATCTGCCCTCAGCCACAAAATGCCTTCCCTCTTCCACGGCGTCCTCGGCAACACAGGACTTCTGAAAACCTGAGGTGGCTGCGCGGGGACCTCCAGCGGAGTCGGGGAGCGGCGTCATGCAAACCGAGATGGCCATGTTGTAGGGTTGGATCTACTTGGGGGGGCAACCAGACTGGGATCCGACGTAGACTGGCGCAAACGTTTTTACCTCAGGTCAGTCGTGATTTTGATAACGACCTCGCAACGCAAGCCAAGGCCCCAATCAATGCCGACACTCTTTTCAAGGTCCTCCGAGAGTATGGATGACCGCCGTCTTTTTGTTCGTTCTCTCTCTCTCTCTCTCGCAGCCATCCTGTGTGGGGTCGTCCTCGCTCTGCAGGCAGCACTGTTGTTGCTGACATTCTCCTGCCCCCTCTTCTCCTATCCCTCCTGCTCCTCCTCCTCCCCCCAAGCAGGGGCCGGTGGGCTGGTGGTGCACCTGCGCGGCGCCTGGGGGAACCGAGCTTCAAGTAACACGCGCGCATGCGGGGGCATGCTGGCGCCATCGGGTAGCCCAGGGGGGCTGGCCGGCCCTGCCGGTGCCTGGCACTGGGGGCGGCACCCGTGGGGGGGCATCAGGGCCGTGGGCAAGGAAGGCGTGCCCCATGTTGAAGGCGGCCAGGGGGTCTGAGCTGGTTGGGTCCCGAGAGAACTGGTCAAGGAGGGGTGGATGAACTCAAATCCGCTCAGAATCGGTCCCTGGACCCCTTCCGGAGTCCATCTGGTGCAATTTTTCATCCCAGATCCGTTTACGACGGTCCCGGGGCTCGAAGACGACCCCTGGAGACCGAGCGAAGCAAAAAGACGTCTCGAAGGGAGGGGGTGGTGGAGGAGGAGGAGGAGGAGGAGGAGGAGGAGGAGGAGGAGGAGGAGGAGGAGGAGGAGGAGGAGGAGGAGGAACCCTTGCACCCTGAGACTGCCCGCCCGGCCTGCTCGCTGGAAGCAGAACGGGGCCACCTCAGAGCCCCAGTCGCCTCCTCGCGCCGTGTGGCCCCGCACGGTGACCGAGGGGGCTCCGCGGCCCCCGACGAGGCCCGGGGCGGTGTCGCCGGAAGAGCGCGCGTGAAATCCGAGGTGCAGTGAAGAGGCTGCGGTGCCGTGGGGGGTGGCGCAGGGCTGAACCTAAACGGTGTTGTTCGTTTTCGTCTTGTTTTTTCGTTTTCCCTCGCGTTTGTCTTCGGTCCGCCTCCGCCGCAAAACGAGGCCGAAACGAGAAGGGCCCACGAAATCGCCCAAACACCGTTTAGGTCCTCCTCCTCCTCCTCCTCCTCCTCCTCCTCCTCCTCCTAGGCGTTGGCCCATTCTCGAGCCCAGGCTCCGAGTGGAGGCCACCCCAGGCGCGCGACCCCAGCCCCGGGCGGCGGGCGGGCCCTTCGTGGCCACGCCGAGTGCTCGCGCGCCCTCCCCGCGGGCAGCGAGGAGGCGCGGGCGGCGGACGCTGGCACTGCTCGCCGCCGCTCTCTCCGCTTGCGGGCCCGCCGCTGCTCCTCATGCCCCCCTCTGGAACTCGCGGCGCGAGGCGGCGCGAGCGGCGCTGGGGCGGGATCCAGCAGCGCCTCCTCTCTCCTCTCTCCTCCTCCTCCTCCTCCTCCTCCTCCTCCACCTCCTCCTCTCCTCCTCCTCCTCTCCTCCTCTCTCCTCCTCCTCCTCCTCCTCCTCCTCCTCCTCCTCCTCCTCCTCCTCCTCCGCTCGCGTGCTCCGCGCCCCTCGCTGCTCCCTCCCGTCGCTCGGCTCTCGTGCGTCTGGGTGCTGCCCGGGCCTGCAGCTTCTTGCTGCGCCCCTGCTGCGGGTCCGGCGGAGGCACGCGCCCCACCCCGAAGCCACACGGGACCCCTCGACCTCCCTGGGGCCTGCCCGGCGCGCGCAGCCCTCACCGCTTTGCTGCGCCCCTGCGGGGAGTCCAGCGGAGTGCCACCCCCGGGGGCCCGGCGGACTGAAAAGCAGCCGAACGCCTTCCGTCGCACTTGTTTCACGACCCGAGCACGTCTCGGTCGGCATCGAATCGGATCGAGCCGGCCAGAGCGGATATCGAATCGCATCGAGCTGGCCAGGACCTGCCGTCGGGCTCTATCACGTCAGCGGGCACTTGCCGCAGTTAGGAACAAGGAAGGTCTGTGCCTGCTCGTGGAGAGGGGATTTGGGACGTCTGTGCGTGTGTGTGTGTGTGTGTTTTGTTGTGTGTGCGCGCGCGCGTGTGTGTGCGCGCGCGCAACAACAACAAGGTGTGCTGGGCTTGCTGTGTTCTTCCACGTCCTCCGTCTCCTCGACCTCCGCTTCTTCCTGGTCCTCCTTCTCCTCCTTCTGCTCTTCCTCCTTCTCCGCCATCATACCCCTCCCCTTTCCCTCCTCCCCTCTGCTGCCTCTTTCCCCTCACCCGTCCCGCCTTCCTCGCCCCGGCCCCTGATCGCCCGGGCCAGGCCGGAGGTCTCGTCCTTCTGCTCCCCTTCCAGCACCTGGGGCTTGGGATGGGAAGAAGGGAATGCTGGAAAGGGAGGGAGGGGAATACGGGAAGGGAGGGGGGGATGGGGGGGGGAAGGTGGGAGGGGGGCGGGAGGGGAGAACGGAGAGGAGGAAGATGAGGAGTGGGGTGGGGGACGAGGAGAAGGCAGAGGAGGATGAGCAGTAGGATGTGAAGGGCGAGGCACAAGAGGATGAGGAGGATTAATTACTGGATAAAGAGGAAGAGGAATGCCACCTGGAGCAAGCCTGTCTGTCAAATGCACACAGGCACATACGCGACCATTTCGTCATCTTGCCACCGATGGGGCCCATCATAATACATATGATAATCATACAAATACTGACAATACTAAGATCACAACTACTACCACTACTACTACTACTACTGCTACTACTACTGCTACGACTGTTGCTACTACTACTCCTACTCCTACTCCTCCTCCTACTCCTACTCCTACTCCTCCACCTCCACCTCGTACTCCTCCTGCTCCTCCTGCTCCTACTCCTACTTCTACTCCTCCACCTCCTACTCCTCCTACTCCTCCTGCTCCTGCTCCTGCTCCTCCTCCTCCTCCTCCTCCTCCTCATACTGCTACTACTGCTACTGCTACTGCTACT